ACCAGCTAATAGTATACAGACTATACTATATAGTATATAGTATTAGTACTATACTATACAATATATAAAAGTAGAAATTTGTGGTTTTGCGGGCAGCCGCGTGTCAGATCGCTGACACTCGTTTCATTAAGTGGAGCACAAATTCCAGGCGACTAATGTGGAAACTGGCGTGTGGAAACCGTTGGCTCGACGGGAGAATGAAATTCCGATTCCGATCGCGCGGCGATGCGTTTTATTTTCCCACTTTCTTTCGTCCGCGCCACAAACTGGACTTTATTGGGAGAAAGTGGAAACTTGGACGTTAATACTATACTACGCTATCGGCCTCGTCTAATTCGATCGGCAACTTCCGCCGTGGCTCGTCGTGGAATTTTCATCGAGCTTCCTGCGAGAAAGACACACGCTGACTGCTCGCCGACCGTGAATTCGTTTGCAAGTCGTCTTTATTTCCATCAGAGCAGCCGATAATTGACAGAGCATATAGTTGAGTATATATATGAGCGTTTATATTTATCACAGTGAATATTTTACTGTTACAGTGTACGGTATTATTACGGTGAATATTTTTCATTAGCGTTTGACAGACTGAATGCCTCGCGACGTGCATCGTGCGATGTGACACTACTGTGCTTTATTAAGAGAACCGAGAGATTTGAACGCGTGAAGAGCCGGTAAAATTCGTTATTTCAAGTATATATTGCTAACCATACATAATGGCAAAGTTGGAAGCACACGTTGAAATAAAACGTTGTAATTAGGGACGTGATTACGAGGGACATTTTGAGGTATTTGCCTCAAATTTGGAAGTACTACGCGATAGTGTATTGTTCCAAATTTAGAGATGCCTGCCTCGTGTTACCTTCGAATTCGAAATACGTGCCTCGAAATGTCCCTCGTGAATACGTGGTGGTTTTTATCTCAACGCGTACCTCCAGTTTTGCCGACGCAACGGTTGGCGATGCAGCTTACGAGGACGATAAATAAAAATTGGCGATAAAATTAATAATTCACAAAAAGGCCCCCCCCCAAAAAAAATGCGAAATGCAGGATTTTCTATTTTTCACATTTTTTTCGCGATACAGATTTCAGAGACCTGTGATACTTCGGTGATCGAAATCCCGGTGGTTACTCTCAGGATGAATTCGATCATTGGTTAAGTTTCCGCCTTACCATCGACGGAGATCAACTCAGCGACAATCAACGGACAACCCTCGCCGTTTCGTTCCCTTCCGAATTGTTATTCCTCGCTTCCCACTTCCCGGCTGTACGTTTTTCAAACGCACACGAAACTACCGTCCTCTTCATCACGCTCTTATCGCGCCCGGCTCCTCCTTCGCGTCCATTCAAACGTAACTGCTCCCCAACTGTGTGTTACTTTCGACAATTCGATTTTTTCACGATCATCACGAGCGACCACCAACTACCGTTACGCACGTGAAACGGTCACGGAGAGAGAGAGAGAGAGAGAGAAAGAGGACGGGTTGTCCTCCTCTCGGCAGGCACATATTGCGCTGAATCCACGCGGTGAATCCCTGAAAATACGATTAAGCACACTAACAGGGCCTCGGCGGAACGATACACCTGTCGTTTCAGCCGTTTCGGCGGCCCCACGGCTGGCTCGATTTGCGCCGGTGCGCTATTATACAGTTAGCCGTAACATCGGCATTCGATATTATCCCGAAGCCGCTATTCACCGGGTTATCCGCCGAGACGGATCCGAGAGGTGGTTGCGTATTATAACTCATTTATCTGGGACACTCGTCCGCCACATGACGCTCAAGATAGAGCCATCACTGTTCGTCCTTCCCGGAGAGCGCGAGATGAGGCTTACCGATGCGCCGGCGAACGACACCGAGCCGTTCGCAAAAATTCCGCGTTAAGCCTTTAATCATCTGCCGGACTAACGGGCTCCTCTACTTCCCTCTTCCTCCTCTTCCTCCTCCTCCTTCCCTCGTTCTCTCACTGTCTTTTTCTCGCTCTCCGCAAACGGAACACGCGGTCGATCACCTTCGCCATATATAAATCGCTCATAATCGCGAGAAACTGCGCGGGACCAGCATCGATTTTTCGAGCCGGGAGCGAGAAAACGGCGAGAATTGCGTTTATGAAACACCGTAGCTTCGAATCGAAAGGATGTATCGTGATGTTATTATTTATGATGTTGTACGAGGTCGAGGATGGATTTCGTTGTTTTCGTTTTAAACATTTCGCGGTGCCGACCGATTTAGCCGCTGACGAGGAAGAGGACGGGGGAGACTTTAGGATACACAGAGAAATATGTAGTGCGTTCGAGTAAATATTACACAGGACCACGAAATAAAAGACAGATCCTGTTCTTTGAAGTAGACCAGATGATTCTTATATATATATTTGGGCCTTAGACTCAGTTTCAGTACACCAAAATATATACAAGAAACAAATAGAGTTTCTTACAGAACAGAGCCTTCATTCCTTCATGGATTCATAAATTTAAACCTCCTTAACTGAGTAAACAAAAAATCGTACAGACAGTATCAAAAATTGATTTGAACGGTCTTTTATAGTATTCTCCAATGCCGTCTGCGAAATTAAGAAAGAAAATTTGCTTTCGTCGTAAATAAATCGTGAATATGAGCAAAAATGCTATTTTCCGCCCATTTATCACGTCGAGGATTTTGAGATATTCTAACCGGAAAACGGGACAAACACCATTTTTTGAGGTTTCTCTGTAGAGATAACAATGAAATGAAACGAGACACGTGAATTTCACCAACGCGATCATATTTAACATGGAAAAATCCAATCCGAAAACTATGCATTTCTTTTGAAGAGGAAAAATATTTTTTATTTTTCTATATTTCTATATTTTTTCTATATTTTTATATTTTTATATTTTCTATATTTGTTATTATTTACAGAAACAAATAACTTTACCGAATGTCACACTTTCATTTTCGTTAGGATCCGCCGTATTAGATTCGAATATTTCCCATTTTCGACTTCGGATTTGCAATCAACGCATCTCGCTTCGTTTCATTGTTATTTCAACTCGGAAATCTTGAAAAACGGCGTTTTCTCGCTTTGAGATATTTCCAAATCCTGACGCGATAGGCAAATTCTTCTCCTGATTTCAACTCAGCGCTCAGAAAAACATAAGGAATGGCTGATTTTGTCGAAAAAGGCGACCGTTGTATAATAGAAATTGTGTAATCGGAACGGGAGACGCGTAGCGAGAACCAAGTAGAGCCTGATCGCAGAGTTCGACATTTCATCAATTTTTTTCTTCTTTTTTTGGGGGGGGAGAAAGATTTATATCTCGTGTCGTCTTTCGCGCGAGCACGCGCTAACGATCGCTCCAATTGCGCCTCGCTATTTTCTGTTACGATTGAATCGGTCATCGCTTCATCTCTGCCAACTTAATTCTCTTTCCCCGTCGCTCATTTATTTGGAATATTGATTTGCGTCGTATTTCCCGATCAGGTCGAGTCGAATCTCACTGGGCAGTCGTCGCTGAGCGAGTTACGAATCAATATGAATGTATCGATACACATGCCTGGAGCGCCTCGGTGCGAAACAAACATCATCGATCTTCTGAACGGCGCCGGCATCGACAGGTAGCGTGAGAAAAATTCCTAACGATAACGCGCGATTCTCTCAATCATTTCGCGCGTCCGAACGCGCCAGACAGTATCGATATTGTTGGCGTTGGGTAGTACAGTATCGATACATAAGGAAATAAGGATTTCAGTCAGAAATACAGGGATCTCCCCCGCGCTTTATGGAGGAAAACGTTATTTTTCTGGGAGGAAATCCTGTTTCTCTATGTATCGATACTATTATATCGTTCAACTCGAGATACTGTATCGCCCAACTCCAGTGGAGCGTCACCGCGGTGACGTGTTCCGTGTAATTATTTCCATTCCACAGCCGACAATGCGGACCAGAGATAGGCGATACAGTATCGATATTTCATATATCGATACTTTGATCTCGATACATCAGAATTTTGTTGTCGATACTTTATGGTAACGATACTTCTCTGTATCTACACGCGACTTTTGAAAATCGAACTTCGATATTCGTCTATGTTGATCGTTCGTGAGCACGATTATTGTTTTCGACTTGACTGTTCCTTAATGGTCCATTAAAAAGCTTTAGCTTAATTAAGTATCAGCCATTAATTGTGATTTCAGTTCCCTCCGAAGGGTTTTATTTTCTAAAGCAGGTGAAATAATGACCGAAGAATGAAATATGTTGTTGAGCGATTATCTAAACCAATTATTATTTCTGTAATTACTCGATCTCGGTGATTTATAAATAGGCATTTATAAATACTTGACATTCTGAGCTGGCGGCATGTCTGTCATAGATTTGTTTCTGACATTTTGTGAATATTTACAGCCAAATTGTTCGAATTACGCTAGAAAATCCTTTTCTATCCTCCCTACTCGGCGGATTTAGCACCCTCGGACTATCATCCGTTTCCCAATGTGAAGAAACGACGAGGGAAAAAGATTTACATCGAATAATGAAGATTTACATCGATATGCCTTCTTCTTTCATCTCGGTCGTAAAGTTAAGCTGTTTTGCTGTGATCGCAAGAAACAAAATGAAACGACATTTTAAGTTAAAAGAAGTCGCGTATATTTGTTTGTATAATTTGTTGATCTATTAAAAATTCATTATGTAAAGCAGATGTCTCGATGCATTCACTTTACACATAAAAATGTCCCGTTCGTTAAATATCCACTGTAAGCTAACGTCCGATTAATCAACTTTCACTCTTGGAAAATAGTCTGATCCTTAATTTATACGTTACACGTGCGAAAAGATTCCCTTTACGATAAAGTTTTACGTAAAACACCCTTTCGTAATATTCTCTTAACCGTGCGAAGACCGTAGCATATTTACTTTAACTTTAGTTTCGACAAATCTACGCTATTTCCGGCGATTGCGGTTAATTCTAGGGAAAAGCAGCGATCGAATCAATTACGATACGGTATAAATCAACGAGCACTTACCTCGGAAAGGCGAGTCTGAGATCAGCGCGCAATTTATTTAACAGCTCGCTGACCGACGTGAACTGTCTCAAGGTCATCTCGCCGCTTCCGGATGCGTAACCGGAACTCGAACTGGTTGTCGACGGCAGGGTACCTTGAGAGTCCTGGACAGTGCCTAACGGCCGCCTTCCCCATCGTCTCAGCGCGATCGCGTAATCCTCTGCATTGTACGTGGGCGGTCTTAAGCGTTCCTGCGAACAGAATTATTTCACATATCGTACAGGATATATATGTTAAATAAATCGGAAAGTTCCGTCCATCTGGTGGCTAGCTATAGCTAAAATTGTCGGTAACTCTAATGTCTCAGCCAAGCTTAATCTTTTCAGTTTTACCATCTGTCAATAAAATTCAGTAAATAAAGGTATACGTTCGCATCAATAACATTGTTTCTTGCTGCATCGGGAATGTCGAAATTTAAGCCAAATGAGCGTGATTTTTACATTATAATATTGTTACAAATTCAAGGATATCGAATTTTTGTGGAAAGATAATATATTCTTGCTTATGCATGAAACAATGATTGCGTTAATTAGAATATATAAATCTTGAATTGATGCTGAATTTTTTTTCCGTGTAAGCGTTCTCAAATAGGGCAGGAATTATTGGCGCTCGCGTAAATAAAATATTCATGGCGGAAAATGGGACGATAATTCCGGTTTAATTTCACGGCGCTTCCGATCGTAAATCGATAGAATTATGGTGATTATCGCCTTTCTTGCTGTTCGTAAGTACTGAAGTGGAGGGCGAAGCTCGCGCGAGGACGTGTACCGTAATGAAACTCGGATCGATAATGAAAATCAGTCGTCCGTGCCGCTTTACTTGCGTTAATTTATAGATACGTAGATTTAGACGAACCTGAACGATTGTATAATTAAGATAGCAGGCACGCATCCTATATAAACAACAAATAAGTAGGTTTATACGTAACGACGCAGTGTACTAACTTGCATTAACATAATAATAATTCGTATTTTAACTCGTATTAATATTAATTATAATCATATTGTCTTTGTATTAATATAAACTTGTATTATTTAACATTAATTTGTACGAATATCATATATTATATGATTGAAAACACGCTTGTTGCATCGAGAGAAAAGATATTAAAAAAATAAAACATATTTATCGAATGAGTATATTAATAACATATTTACTTGAATTTAAATTCTTTTATTCAATGTTATTTACTTATTTATCCCTTATTTATTTTTCAAGTAGGATAAATAATTGTTTTGTGAAAAGCTACGGTTTTGAAAAAAATTTATATTTTTTATTTCACTGAGAGAAAAATATATTATTTTCGGGGACAATATCCTTTTTTTTTATTTTAACCACAAAAATAATAGTAGCAATACGTAAGGTTATTGTCACTAAAACCGTAATAACATTTATTAGAAAAATTAATAAAATAAATATACTGTCATTCAATGTCATTTTGCAAATAACACGCAGATTTTTTAGTTATTTATCAAACCCTCTATAAACAACCATTTTCAATCATTGATAACTCGAAATTTTGCGTGCTATTTATAAAATGGAGCACATAGGAACTTTTCCGCTCAGTTTCATCCGTTTTACTTGCACACTACAGGAATCGAGAACCGGGACACCCTGGTATAATCATATGTGGGCAAGTTTTATTTATGATTTTCTTTTCCCCAGAATACCACAAATCTTCGCTAATCGAAGATAAGTCATCAAATTCGTTCAACCTGAGAATACAATGAGAAATCGAAATTTCCATTTGGCAAAAATTAGGTTGACTTTCGTCTTCGACTCTGAGTAGATGTCTCAAAGTCAAACCAAGGTCACCATTATTATACGTCCCTCTCTTCACCGTACAACTTTTATCTGGTACGTTTCTCGTAAAATTTCACACCATTTGCCTGTTAAGATCAAAGTGAATCACCTTACAGAAACTTACGCAAGTGAACGCACTTTTCGACCGGGACAACAAGAACGCGTGCACAGTGCGCCGCATCTCTCTTTCTTGATTTTCAATGTTTCATCATCATCATCGTCGAATTCGCGATTCTTATCGGCCTGTGTGTTTCCTCGTTAATACGGCCCCGGCCGTTGTACTCCACGCGAACAAATTACGTGAAATTGATTTACTTTCATGCTTACGGTTTATGCAGAATGTATAAATTATCAAGTATTCCGCTATTGACGTACATGCGGAAGTGTGTGTATGAATTATTCAAATGAATCAATTACATTGAGAATCGTTCCCGTAAGCACACGTACGGTTCCCTCGCCCTCCCACACCCTTCCTTCTGCCGTTCTCTGTTTCAACGTAAGCGTAAGCTTATCAAACAACCGGAGCGGGTTAGTCGAGTTCGCCTTGAATACTGGTAGCAATAAACGATCGCCGGGGACTGTATATATCGAGAGCGATCGTCAATTAAAGCAGACCAAATGGAAGAATCTCGCGCTATCTGAATGTTATTCACAGTTTTCGCCAGTATCTAGATAAAATTATCTAAACAACCTTCTAGATAATTATATAGATAATCGAAATAAGTAATTCAATCATCTTTATCTTTGTGTTAATGGAAGAAATATATAATATATTAATTTTCTTCTTAGATAAAAAAATATGTTATCTCATCTAGAAATTATCTGAAATGATGTTATAGTATTATATTCTGAATTCACTTTTCGATAAAATAAATGAAATAATAGGGACCTATGCATTAAGCCAGTATCAGACTAGGGACTGGAGGTTAGATTTCAACGATTCAACAAATTTCGGTTTTGTCTCCTTTGGTCTGTTCTTTTTAGCTGCACTGTTGATCTGGTGTAATAAGTTAGAGCGAGACAGAATATACTTGTCTCATTCTAACTTATCGCATCAGTTCAGCAGTACAACTAAAAGGAACAGACCAATTGTTTCAATTGACCAATCCGCTTTAAGTCCATATCAAACTGTCGACTGTGAGTGAACAGTCAATGATTATCGGTCTTTTTCGTTAGATCCTTGAATTTAGAGCGATTACATTGATGAATTACTTAACTGTTGTGCAATTTTACGATCTGCGTAATTCTTATCAATTTTTATAAAATCTATGATGAAAACAATATCATCTGAGAAATTATCTAGATACGTAGCGCTACTGATCTTTCATTTAGATAAATCAAAAGCAAAATTGTCTTCATCTTGTTTAGGATGAATTTTTCGAATTTTCATCTCATCTTCATCTGGATAAATCTGAAATCATCTAAGGCAAACACTGTTTATACATATTCCGGTCTCATTCGCACGGCCGTTTCATACACAGGCGTTAGCGCGGAAATTACATATAATTATAATTATATGTGTGAAAAAGGAAAACACAAAGGAGACATGCGCTTTTAAGGCCAGGTTGTTTAACGATAACCGCGGGAGAAAGAAAAGTGGACAGGAAATCAGAAAATTTACGTATACGACGTGGCTGGACGAGTTCGGCTGCGGTTGCGCGTTTCTTCCACGCGGATCCATCGCATTGTCGGCGAAACCACAATAATAATCATGACATGCGACCGCGCACAGCATTTCACGAAATATCGGCCGCGACCGCAGGCGGTGTGTGTGTAAACAAAAAAAAAAGTCAAGGGCAAAAGAAAACGTCGAGCGACTCCGATGATTCAGAGATGCTATCTTTAGGTCTGCATTCTTTACAGCTGCATTGGGATAAACAATATTTGGTATATTCGTAACTATAATCGCACAAATGAAAGAATTGTGTTCGGGAGAACCGTTTTTCCAATGAACGTAATACATTTTAATACATTTTTTAAATTATTTTTACATTTCTTTTTTTAAGTAGTTCTTCCATCTAGACAAATATGAAGATGATCTATTTATTCATCTGGGTTATTATTTAGATAACTTTCTCTGGACACCGGCAAACATTGATTATATATTTAAGATTTATGTTACTGCGTTTGCGCTGGGAATCCTTTGGTTTCCTTCTCTTTCTCGCCAAGCGTCAAATATGCATCTACGTCATTGTAAGTGCGGACAGGTGCAAGTTGGAGCGAGTTATGAGGAACAGGTCTTTTGTTTCACTTCCATCCCCGGCGGTAAGAGAAGCGTTACTCGATGACAATTACAATTACGGCCGGTAGCATCGCTTGCTCACTAATTAGCCCGCACGCACGGGAGAGCTGATTAATCAACCGGCGCTCAACAATGTCGTGAAATCCCGACGAGCGAGACGACATTCCGACGATATATAATCATCTCATCGTTCGTATCGGCACTTTCGATAATCCGATAATCGACGATTTCGATAAGAGGCATCTTAGTCCTGTTTTTATCTTACGTATTCCGCGCGCAATTTAAGTGAAATCGCTTCTTTATTTCCCCGATTTTCCCGCAACGATGAAACAGACGTGGTAGCCGCGCGAGCGCGCGTGTGATTTCCATTTTCGTTCGTCGCTGCGATCGAGCGATTTCGATGCCGACACACCGAGTGTAAAATTCACGCGCGACTTTTACGCGCACGTCAAAGTGAAAATTCTCTGTGTGTGTGTGTGTGTGTGTGTTCACGATCAGGCAGGTACTGTCGATTTATCGGATTAATACACGCGATATGAATGGCGCGCTCCTCGATTAATCAAATCGGCCGTGAGTAATTGTGAATTATCGCTATCACAACAGGCGATTAATCAAACCGTCTGCGTAATGAATTCCGGATCGTCGCTCGTGCACGGATTGTCGCGACACGCGTAAAGAAGATGCTGAAAGTCGACGATGAACTTGATAAATGTCGATAACGCAGGGGCAACCTTTGAAATACCGCGTTACATAAACGCTGACGTAATCACGTTTTTGCTTTGATTTCTCGTACGTGTAGATCTAATGTCAATGTTGGAACGATGCAAGTGTGAATGCGATAAACGGTAGCGCGCTACTCTGTTTCCGCCACATCTGATGGAAAATCTAACGGAAAATTTAAGAAAAATATGTTTCCCAAAATTTTCTGTAAATTCTTCGTACTTTTTTAGACCTATAAATTTAATTAAGGATGTAATAGCAATAGTATTTATTTAAGAAAAAGCACTCTTTAATCACGAAAATAGGCCTAATTTCTACAAGAATATCAATGAAAAATATCCAATCGACGTTATATTAGAAGATAAATATAATATAATTTTCCGCAGCCGATACGCCGGGAACTTTGCGTAAAGAAGTGAGTATCTCGCCAGCGAAATTTTCACGTATGACACTCCCTTAATACTACGCAGGACCTCTCAGAAATGGCGATTGCCTCTTGCTGATGGTGTCGCAAATCGCGCTTACTGAATTGGCGATTGCGAACGAATATCCCCGATATCACAGGTATATCTGCAAAGGTATTGAAAGTATCTTCGATACTGCCAAGTGTCGCGGGAATACTCGCGCGTGTTACCGTATACGTGCGCGATCAAGTTGTACGCGGCTTGTGCCGTTAGCGACAAGGTCAAGGCGGAAAGTGACTTTGCTACTTCGGCTCGAAAGGCCAGCCAGCCAACCAGCCGGCCGTTCTCTTAATGTTCCATTTCTTGTCGCATGTCAACCGAGGAGCCGCTGTGATGGAGTTCTCACGAGCGTAGAGGAGCAAAAGGAGACCATCGTCCTCTTCGCCGCTCAATCTACCTCCTCTATACATTGACTCAAAGTTGGAAGATATGCGGTGTTTAGCCGGTATCTAGATAAGATTGTCGACACGATCTAGATAATCCAGATAAGATTATCAACATAATTCAGACGAATAAAAAAGATCATCTTTATCCTTCTCTAGATCGAACAAAATGTATTCATCTTCATCACAGGTCAGAAAAACATGTTATCTCGTCTGAAAGTAACCTAAAATGATATTCCTCGTAAAAACAATATAATCTAAAAAATGATTTAGATAATTGGCGCTACTTATCTTTCATCTAGATAAGCCAAGAGCAAAATCATCTGAATCTAAGATGCATTTCTCGGATTTTCATCCGATCTTCATCTAGATGAATCTGAAAATCATCTGAGGCGAACACTGAAGATATGCTAATCGAAAACATCCCAGCTCGCTCGCTCGCCGACGGAACGTGCCGTGGAACGGCGGTTTAACGCGCGACTTGAGTTACGTCATAAAGTTCTCCGCGGCCGTTTACACGCCCTGGCGGGGCCGACACGCGCGACACATCGTCTTCTTCCCCGTTTCTCTCATCTACACAACGTTACACCTCGCCGGCACACCGGTAATTTACTTAACGTTCGTTTCTACTTTACCTTTTCCGGCTGCGGTCCCCACGGCTTCACGACCAGCAGCTCTTCCTCCGCGTTCGGCGCCATATCCGACTCGCTGGAAAAAATCAGAAACGGAGAAACTGGTTATTAGGAGGCGGTGAAATCGGAAATCTCTTGGCTCGTGTGTGCGCGAGAAAAAAGAAAAGTCGAGCGAAGAGGACGGTGCCGGCGTTACGTAAATTTCCTCGCACGATCCACGCCGATCGAATTGAATAGAAATGAAATCGAATCGGGACGGTGCGATTATATATGATTTTAGACATCGAAAATCGGCAGTCGACTGATTGACAGGCTGGTGACATGGATGTGTAATTGCACGTTAAAAATAAGTCGCATAAAAATAATCAATCAGGATTGTGCAAATTATCTGGCACAATCCTGATTGATTATTTTTAAAGTAAATTTCATTAGAGTAAAATTGAATAAAAGTCAAGTCAGATCGGCAATCTGGCGTGGGAATTTAAACACCAAAATATAATTAACGTAGAAATGTTTGTGAGATGTAAGTGTAGTTTTGAACACTGAGAAGAAATCGGTAGATTCAAAAGAATCAAGTATCAGGTTTGCGCAAATTGTCTCGCACAAATTGCATTCGAGTAAAATTGAGTGAAAATCAAGTCGGATCGACAGTCTGACGTGGATTGGAATTTGAGTATCCAAATATAGTCAACGGTAAAAATTAACAAAATTGAAATATAATTGTATGAATAAGATAGAAATTCTTTCAACTACCGAAAGATTAAATTCTAAAGATTAAATTCTAACTCCGATGGAAGATTAAATAAGTGATTGATAATAATTCATGAAGATAATAATTAAATAATAAAACTAAATTAAGATAACAATTAACTTAATATTATAATTAACTTAATTAATTGTACATCAGTTTATTATAACATTAAGTTAATTATTATCGAGCAGGAAATTATTATCGAACAATAATAACACGTTTTACGTCAACTTTAAATGAGTCGTCGCATTTCGCTAAATTTCGATTTTGTTTCACGCAAATGATCGACTGAAATCAGGATTTCACCGAGAAAATTAGTGCGAAATCAGCTTTCGCGCCTGAAGGTGAGTGCTCGATTGGTGCTAAGAAAATTCGAATCGAAGTCGCTTCGAAGGAACTTTTATTACAATACTGAGGAAATACAAGTCTCCCGGAACGCAGCGACGCGCACGGACGCCGATGCGCGTTGTTTCCAATTAAAACGCACCTTCGTCATCGTCGGTCGCGAACCGTTGTGCTTAATTGGAGAAATCGTTCCGTTAAAAATTCCCTTATTCGTCCCCTCCCCCCCCCTCCTCATTCCCCCGCGGAATCGTCGCGCAATCGTCGGGCGATCGTCCGTGTCGCGCGGAACTATTCGCGCGGAATTCGCTTCGTGGTTTCAAACGGTACCTCACTCACGCGCGGTGCGTTCCAGCAGGACGCGGAAAGGCGATGGCTCGTCCAGAGAGACGACCAGCTCCGAGTACGTTACCGTAGCAGCTTCTAACTGGAGATTTTCATTTTGCCGGCCCGCCCGATTGTTCCGCACGCCGGGTTGGTTTCGAGTCCCGATCCGCGCGCGTGCTTCGACCGGCGGATCTTTTCCCGCGGAAACGCGCGCACGCGTCGTGCTGTTTTTGAAAAAAAAAAAAAAAACACGTTGGTAAGGTGAACGTCTTAATAATTAGTGACGGTGTGACCAATTAGTACGAGACGATCGCGTCTGTTTTTCTTAACAAGTTAACATAACTCGATATTTCGTGATTTATTTAAAAGAGAAATATATTTTCACTTTAAATTTTGTACAGGGTGTCCCAAACTAAACACTTGGTTCCCGTGGTGTGCAGGTAGAACGGGGTGGAACTGAGCGGGAAAGTTCTATTTTGCCATTTTGCAAATAACACGGGAATTTCGAGTAATCGATGATGATATCTCGATGAGATAGGGGAGAAGCCTATTTCTCTGGGAGAAATCCGTACTTCTTTATCGATAGTGTATCGGCCAGCTGTATCGCGAATGCAACGAATAGCCTTTGACCGATGACGACGCCTCGCACGGACACGGCTTCGCCGCGCGAAGTTCACGGCGGTTCTCGCGCGCGATAAAACGGACTTGGCGCGGACGGAGTCACTCACGCGGTTGTAATCGCGATTGTATTAGCGCCGAGCGGCTCTCCCGGCTCTGCTATCGCGCCACGGTGTTATTGCGTTTCGCACCTCTCTCTCGTCCCGCGTACGCAGATAATCTTATCCGCGTCCTGATAAAAGCTAAACTCGCTCTCGCACTCGCAATCGCTGGCATTTCACGGTCTGGTACAGCGCATAGCGCGATGATTCCACTTAAAGATGCCCGATGCAACTCTACCCTCGAGTATCGATACGCATCGCGGATGAAAGTATCGATATACAGGATGCATCGAACGTCTCGTATCGACGTGTATCGCGGATAAAAATATCGGTAGACAAGATTTATCGAACGTCTCCTGTAGATACGTGTCGTGAATGAATGTATCGATACACGAGATGTATCGACGTCTCGTATCGATATCATCAATGTCAACACTTGAATGGCATAAAAATATCGGATCAAAAGCAGCATTGAGAAAGTTACCGTGGAAAAATAACGGCGTTGCGAAAACTATCGAAAAAATTACTTTTGACGGTAATGGAGTTATAAATAACGCGTTACTTTTTATAAGCAACTCTGATCAAAAAATACCTATGTACACGTTATACGAATGTAATAATGCGAATGTATTTGTTAATGATATTGAAATAATCACGGTAAACTGATTTTCTAATTGAAAAAGAAAATGTGTTACATAAAATTTTATCCGTAAAATAAATTCTATTATTTTGTACATTATGAGAGGCGCGTAATAATAACTTTTAATTACTCTATAAATGCTCGCAATCTCGAGTCGTATCTTATTCTGAAAAAGTGAACTGTTAACGAGACCTTTGCGAAACGTCGGAAACAAATCCAAAAGAGACGTGGCGCTAATTCGACACGCCAAATCGAATATTTGTAAATGCCGATCGCTGATTAATCGAGGGATTATAAAAATAATAACTGATTTTAGGTAGTCACTTCTCAACTTATCTCTTTCTCCGATCATTATCTTATCTGCTTTACAAAATAGCATCTCGAAAGGAACCGGAGTCGTAATTAATAACTAATACTTAATTGTCGAAACTTTTCGATGAACCATCAGGAGACAATCGAATCGAAAAAATAATCGTCACCACGAGCGGCCAGCATGGAAGTATCGAAGTGTTCGATATTTGAGGGTCGTGTATCGAAAATTTCGAGTGGTAAAACTTCGATACGAAACATCAATACTTGGGCATCAAAGTTCCGATACTTGAAGTATACCTTGGCGTCAAAGTTTCCGATATTTGAGTATCGATACGTTGGCATTATAGTATCGTTATTGTATCGCCCGTCCCTAATTTCACCGAACACCGCGGAGGACACGGTGAGCACGGGTGCTCAGTTTTGTAGGTTAGCCGCGGTAATAATGGCAGTCACGATCCTGCCGCGGTCACGATCGTCTTACGATGATCGGCGTATCGATGGTAAACCGACCGGATCGGTAACGCGCGCGCCCGCCTGTAACATTTACGAGCTCCTCGCGACGTGACCTCGCGCGCGGCCTACCTCGCCGGCCAGCCACGGTCTGTTACCGTAATTCGATTTACAAAGAATATTATTTCACGATGGTGGCGCGCCATATCATAATCGGCGCGTGGAAAAGTGTGTGTCCGCCTACCCCGGTATCTCGGACGCGGAAACCCTCCCAGTTCGGCGAGATCTCGGCGCACGTCGAGAGAGAACCCGGGCTCGATTCTTGAATCTTCCGTCCGTACGCAGAAAGGAAATCTCGTTGTATCGGGCGTGCGAATTAATTCGACGCTTTTCTCCGTGAAATTCATCATGGTTTGTGTGCAAAAAGTCGCGGTAATTTGCCGTTAGAACAAGATAGTGTTCTCCTTACGTTTGTTAATTTGTTCTTACAGCGAATGCAATTTGTAAATTCAGCAAGTTAATTCGGCTAATGATAATTGGTATTTTTAACAAATCGATTCGCTTCGTAAGAGTTGACATTATATATAGGTATTTCGATTTATTTCGTTTGTATTACGTATTGTGATTCCATTGAAGAAGATCAAATATGATCGAAATGTTTGGATTTGACTTAAACATATGTGACGATCTAAGAAATTTTCTTTATTTATTTATGATAATACTGTATTAACCGTGCTTGGTTCTTCATCGCCTTATAAGGAGACAAAATCGAAATTTGTTGATTCACTGAAATCTAGTCTCCAATCCATCGTCTAATATGGGCTTAACGCGTAAGTCCATATTATTCCATTCATTTGATCGAGAAGTGAGTTCAGAATATGGATCGTAACATCATTCCAGATAATTTTTAGATAAGATTACGTTTTATTCTAAATCTAAGATGAAGATGACAACATTTTTCATCTCTCCCATCTAGATAAAGATGACCCGGTTCATCTAGACGATTATCTAGATAATTCCATCTAGATACCGGTGAACACTGGATTTATCGGCTTTTACGCGTTACGCACCCGGTATCGCGACGGACGCGAGGACGACGTCGCACGCGTGGACTTCCCTTGCGGAAGCGCGCCGCAGCACGAATGCGCGCATATCTGCGTGCGTGCGGTGCGCGCGGGAACGATCGAAACGCGCTCGTGCTCGGATGGAACGCGCGGTTGGAAAAGGTAGCCGCGCGCAGCGTAAGTGTACCCGCTCCGCCTCTCGCGGAGACAGCACTCTCAGCGCGAGGCATTGACCTGCGCGCGCGCGAGCGGGGTTAGTCACATATATGCACGCGTGTATCACCCGTGCATACCTAGGCGCGTTTACGCGCCGACTACGCCGTACGCAGCTCCGGGTACACACACACACACACACGTTCGCTGGAAGACGGACTTTAATTAGACGAAATCTAAATGCTTTGGACGATGAAAATGAACGAGACATCGCCGTCGTTCCATTTAACGAACTTATCCAGTGTTTGTCTTAGATGA